TCTGGAGCTGCTCCTGGCCGAGGGCCGAGGCCCTGCCAGGGGCCGATGCGTGCGCTGGGGTCCTCGCGAGCACCGGGCCCTCTTCCTCCAGGCCACTCCACATCCCGATATCAGCCGCCGCGTGGCTTCCTTCCGCTTCGAACTGCGGGAGGACGGGCGTCCAGAACTGCCTCCGCAGGCTCAGGGCCTTGGTGCAGATGGTGAGTGCCAGTCCGAGTTGGAGACCGGTAGGAGTCATGGAGTCGCACCATGGCCGGGTGGAGTGAGAACGTGTCCTTCTTCCCCATTGCACAGAGGGAGAAACTGAGACCCCAGAGTGAAGCAGCCTATCAAAGGCACTCAGCTAGTGAGAAGCAGTGCCAGGGCAGGTGAGAGGGAGGAAATGAGGAAGGGGTGATCCCTCAGCCTGCTGCTTAGGGAGAGAGCTGGTAGGGGGCAGAATCCTGGAAGGGGAAGCCAGGCAGGGCTACCCAGGCCACTGGTCCCTGAGGAGTTCGGGGGAGGGGATGATGGGGGACAGAATCAAAGCCTCCGGCCAAAGATGTCCCGGGCTCCCTGGCCCAGCGGTGACCTCCCTCCCCTCCCCCAGCCCAAAACAACAGAAGTCCAGTGTGAGCCCAGTCACCATGGAGATGAAGCCCCGCCTCCTGGCAGGGCACCAGGTCCAGCTCTTTGCTCTCCTGGAGCTTGGAGCCTGACCTCACAGGGGATGGGGGTCTCTCTGTTCTGCCCCCTGACCTCAGAGCCCACCATAATCTCCTGCCACTGGGCTGGGCTGGTGTCCTTGGGCCCCAGGAGGCAGCCCTGGGAGACTAAGGGGTTATCGCCTGCTGGTGCCTACATGTGAGATGCTTGCACCCAGACACTTGAGCTCCAGGTCAGGGGGCTTTGTGCTGGCATGCTGGGCACAGCACCCAGGCCCATGTCTGTGTGTGCATGTTTCAGGCAGGCACAGGCCTGTGGTGTCACCTTGGGTACTAGGTGTCTTCAGGGTGTGCACACATGCTCTCTGGGATCTCCAGTTGCCATCAGGCCCTGACAGGGGTCTGGTAGCTTGCCCTCTCCCTCCTGTGTCCAGCTGGGGGAGGCCTTGGATGGTCCAGGAGAAGGCAGGGCCTCCACTCAAGACCTCCCCTGCATGCCAGGTGCCTGCAGACCCTGCAGTGATGCTGAGTTCCTTCTGGCTGCATGCACCAGTGACTTTGGTGAGTGCCCCTGCTGTGGGGAGAGCCTGGGGCCTGCCTTCCCCTGCATGCCACTGGCCAACATGTGTCCCCACAGTGATCCTCGGAACCATCCATGGGGTCACCCACGACACAGAGCTGCAGGAGTCCATTATCACTGTGGTGGCTGTCCGTGTTCTCCGCCAGACGCTGCCGCTATTCCGGGTAGGGGGCCCTGGGGCCCAGGTGCAGGCCTCCATTCGCACCCCACTGCGCTGTGGTGTCCGCCCTGGCCCTGGCACCTTCCTCTTCATGGGCTGGAGCCACTTTGGTGAGGCCTGGCTGGGCTGCGCCCCCCGCTTCCGGGAATTCAGCCGTGTCTATGCAGCTGCCCACACCAACCACCTCCACCCCTGTGAGGTGGTGCTGGACTGAGGGGCCTGGGAGCAGGACGCTGGGAAGGGGCTGGGAGGAGGGTGGAGGGATGCCTCCAGATGGCATCACGGTACCCACTGCTTCTGCTGTAACAGCAATAACCAATAAGAACACTGACTACATTCACCAATGGATATCGAGTGCTGGTGCCTGAGCCCAGCCCCGGGCCTGCCTCACTGCATTTTATCCTCCCATAGCCCTGGGGACTGTGCGATTCCTGCTCCACAGAGCCAGAGACTGAGGCTTGAGGGCAGTGGTGCTGTGTCTGAGGCCACCTATTCCCCAACCTGGCAAGGGGCTTCTGCTGGGTGGGAGGTGTGACTCACGTGAACCTCGGCTCTGCTGCTCCTGCCCCCAGTGCCAGTGCTTCCGCGGCTCAGAGCAGGAGTGGAGAAGTGGCCATAATTCCCCAGGTCTGAGGTGGCTGGGGTCCCTTGTAGGGGCAGGCAGGCGACACCACTCTCAACCTGCAAGGGAAGGGGTTGCAAACTGACGGGCAGCCGACTTCCCTGCATGGTCCGCTGCAAGCCTGGCAGAGTCATCCTGGCCCCATCCTGCCCTCCAGGAAGAATGGACCCCTCTGTCCTGAGGCCCTTGATACGTGCGGAGCATCCCAACGGCGGTAGGGTCTCCCCTGCGGGGTCCTGTTTGTTGCCCATTTCCGGCGGGCGGGGCCCACAATGGGGTCTCTAAGGACCGTTTCCCGCCACTGGTCCCATTGTTGCTACCTCTGCCTTTCTCCTCAGCCTCAGCCACATAAAGGGCCAGCCTGTTCTGGACAAAGCCAACAGCTCTAAGGCTGAAAGGCCCCAGGATGGGGGCGCATGTGGGACTACTGAACCCGAAATGAGTGGACTCTGCTGTCCCAGTCCCACAGCTCCTGGGAAGGAGGGCCACAGCTCAAGTCTTGGGGGGCACCTGTGAAGTGCCCCAGAAACCACTTTCCATCTCTACCTGGTGGCCTTCACTGGGGAAGCGTCTGTCATCTTTCAGGCAGGAACTGAGGCTGGGAGAGGAACATGGCTGTGCACAGCCCCCAGGCAGGGCTGCTTCTGCCAGATTTGGCTGATGTAGGTACTTCGTGTTGCCACACCCTGTGAGGACACTCAGTGTTACTCCAGTGGCTGCCTGGAGTTTCCGTGGGGCTGGCTATCTGAAGCGGCATTCGTGGGGCATGGCCTTTCACTTGGACTAGCTGCTTGCTGTGAGGACTGGTGAGAATTGTGGGTGGGAGCATAGTCACACTGGACAGCAGGCTTCCCTGGTTTCCTCCCACCTCCCACCACTCCTGAGGCTTCTTGCTGTGCCCTCTCACCTCCCCAAACTCCCATCCATGGCTTGCTCAGGGCTCAAGCACTAGACCTTTCTGTTGACATTCCTACATTCCCTCCTTGGAGAGCTGTACCAGCCTCCTGGCTGTAAATACCATCAATATGCTGATGACCCCACATGTGGATCTCCAGCCTGGACCTCTCTCCTGGACAGCAGACCTTTGTATCCCTGTTCTTCCCTCTCCCCCCACCAGGGAGTATCTCAGTAAAGGCCAGAGGGGGAGGAGGTGGGTGTACTCTCCCATCCCCCTCCTCCTCTCTGTCTTAGGAGGCTTTTGCACCTCACCCTTGACTCCTGCCCTGATTGTCTGGCCAGCTTCCCACAGCCTCTGGTTTGGACAGAGGCCTATGGCCACACTTGGTGGTCGCCGTGGCTTGCCTGTGGGACCATCTGTCCACAAAAACGTGGAGTAGCTGCTCTGGAGTGGGCCCTAGGCTGGACACTGGCCTCTACCCACCTGCCCCAGGAAGTGCCTCCTACTCACACACCTTCCTCCAGAGAAAAGTACTGGCTTTTCTCGTAAGGAGCAGGAAGCCTAAGTGGGTGCTGCCAGCAAGGCCAAGGGAGCACAAGGGTGTTCCTAGGAGGAACCTGGAAGGCTTGGGTGAGGGCTTCATGCCAGCGCTGGGGAGTGGCCAAGGTGAAAACGTGGGCATGCAGGCCGAGACTATGGGAACAGGTGCCTGTGGGGCACCTGCATGGCTTCTCTTGGTGTGTGCACTCACACAGGTGCACCCGAGTGCCCAGTGTCCAAAGGCGAGGAGCAGACATGCTGGTGAGGTACTTGTGGGTATACACACTGGGAAGTCTGGCTAGGTGTCTTCATCTAGTCAACCAGCCTTTATTGACTGTCTGCCAGATGCCAGGGGTTTGTATAGACACCAGGAATAATGCAAGGAAGAAAAGAGACAAGGGTGAGATGGCTGTGTAAGCACTCCACCAGCCTAGAGCCCAGTGCATGTCCTTCCTTTCTAGGGAGGGCCCAGTGATAGCCAGGAAGGAGACAGGATGTTCTGATCTCTGTGCGGTGGGTCAGCCGCCCTCCTCTCCAGTGCTCGGATCTTGGGAGCAGGGCACCTGGGTTTCCTGCAACAGGGGCACCTGTCCTTCAGGGCTGGTGGTAGCTGGGGCCAAGGGCAGGTAGGCGAGTGAGGCGGCCTGTACTTGAAGCGTGGGGGCAGTGGACTCTGGCGTGCCCACATTGTCTGAAGCACCTCTGTCAACCTTGGGGCTCCTGACCAGTGTGGGGAATGGCGGAGAAGTCCGGCCAGGGCCTGTGTGCAGACAAGCCTCTGTCACTCTTGGATGTTTGTCTTCAGAGTCTGCTGAGGAGGAGGTCCTGGCTCTGTCCCCGCACTTGCCTCTCCCTTTCCCAGGCTCTGCCAGGTCACCTCCAGGAACTCAAGTCTTTTCTGTGAGTGACCTTTTCTGGAGAAGGAAGGTGGTCTCTTCCTCCCAGCCGCCGGGCTGGGTCAGCTACCAGAGGGCCCCGCCCCTCACATCCGGCTCCCCTCCCACTATGCTCGGAGAGAGCCAACATCTGTCCGCTCGGTTGTGCTAAATTTCTCCTTGTAAGCCCCCTCGGCCCTGCCCCTCAGCCGAGCTCCAACTTCCACCACCCCCGCGGACCCCAGCGCATCCTGTTTCCTGCGCACTCGGGCTAGTTGCCTTCAGCTGTGGGAGGGGCCCCTATGTCCTCCCCGCGACTGCTCCTGTGCTTGGCGGGTTATCTGGATGTGCAGGTCGGCGGAGACGCCCCTCTAAGCCGGTGAGCCGTTCCCCACTGGCTGACCGCTGCCCCAGGGCTCCAGCCACACTGCACTGGCCCCTTCACGGCCAGTCAGCAGGAGCCACAGCACCGCTTCTCTTGATCGTATCCCCGCGCTGGGATGTGCGGCCTCAGGGGTCCGCAGCGCCCGGGACAGGCCCATAGCAGCCGTCTGAGGAGTGGGCCAACGCGGCTGACTGCCGAGGGCTTCGGCCAGGAAGCAGTACGGCCAGAACCCGCAAGGGTCGCCCTGGACCCCAAGGCTCCAAGGCCGGGAACCCGCTGGAGGGTCCCTGGACTCGCGCGGAGAGTAAGGTGAACGGACCGGCAGCGCAGCCTCTACCAGCCGCTTCCGGCGTCTCGCCACGGCCTCTGCCCCGCCTCTTCCGGCGTCGGCGCCGGGGGCCCAGTAGGCGTAGGGCGGGGGAGGAAAGGCTTCCGGCTATAAAAAGGGCTTACCCCTCCAGCTCCCGGCCGGGGTGTGAGGGTCTCGGACCTGAGGTGGGGAGGGGCCTTGGGGCGTGACGACCCCGAGCCGCTGCCGCAGGCATGGAGCAGGATGACCCGGCTGAAGAGCTGACGGAGCTACGCGAGCGGCCGCTGGGCGCGTTGGCGCTGCTGCAGGTGGCGGCGGGCTCAAGCCTGGCCGCCTACGCCGTGTGGGCGCTGCTGCTGCAGCCGGGCTTCCGCCGCGTGCCGCTACGGCTGCAGGTGTGGTGCTGAGCTCGGGCCGGTGTGTTGGGGACATAGGGGCGTGACGGACCGGGGTGGGGGTGGTCTGGATTGAGATACTGAGCCTGGGTGTGAGGGGAGGGTGCTGCTGCCCAAGGGCCAGCCGGGTTGTGGGTTGGGCCGGACAGCGCGCTCTAAGAAAGGAAGCCTAGGAGGCGGCGCCTCACTTCTCCCTCACAGTCTTGCTCGCCTCCTTGCCCAGGTGCCCTATGTCGGTGCGAGTGCCCGGCAGGTGGAGCACGTGTTGTCGCTGCTGCGAGGCCGTCCTGGAAAGATGGTAGACCTGGGTTCTGGTGATGGCAGAATTGTAAGGACTTTGTGTGTTAGGGGGAGGTCCTTGCTGCCCCCCCCATGGGTATACCTCCCCATCTCTTGGCCTGACGCTATCTGTGCCCTCAGGTGCTGGCTGCCCACAAGTGTGGTCTCCGCCCAGCTGTGGGCTACGAGCTGAACCCGTGGCTGGTGGGGCTGGCATGGCTGCATGCCTGGAGGGCAGGCTGTGCAGGCAGTGTCTGCTACCGCCGTGAAAATCTCTGGAAGGTAACCCGGGGAGTCCTAGATCCCCTCAGACCCCAGCCCTGATCTCCATTCTTTCAGTTCTGGCTTGGCTGCCCTGCTGACAGCCCCAGGTGCTTCTGCCTGAGCAGGCTGGAGCTGGGACTTGGAAGTTGCAGTGACCCCATACCCACCAGTTCTCTTCCTCTGGTGGGGCCCCATTCTCTGCTGGGGTGACCTCCTCTTCCTACAGGTGAGCCTGAGAGACTGCCACAACGTGTCTGTGTTCCTGGCTCCTAGCGTGGTAGGTCTGGGGTGTGCCAGCCCCATGGAGACTTAGGCCATCCCCAGTGTAGGTGCCGGCTAGGGGCAGCTGTGTTCCACCTGGCCCACCCCACCCTCCTGCTCTCTCCCACAGCTCCCACTGCTGGAGGACAAGCTGCAGGCGGAGCTGCCTGCAGGAGCCCGTGTGGTGTCAGGGCGCTTCCCCCTCCCCACCTGGCAGCCGGTGGCTGTGGTGGGTGAAGGCCTGGACCGTGTCTGGGCCTATGATGTCCATAGGGGTGGGCTAGCTGGGCAAGTTGCACCAGCACCCACTTCTGCTTCAGTACCTGGGTCCCCCAACTCTCAGTCTGGCTGACTGGACACAATAAAGATTTGGTTCCACTCTGATTCTTTTTGGGTGGAGTGATCTCCCAGGGTGGGGCCGTGGGGACGGCTTCATGCTGGCCATGGAGAGTTCTCGAAGTTTATCTGATGAACAGTTTAGCGGCTACGGGTCCTTGGGCGCTGGGGCTTGACTGGAGGTGTGGTCCCCACTTTCCAGGGATCCCCTGACCCCACCAGCTTCCTCAGCCTCAGGATCTCCTGCTTGTACCTGCTTAGAGAGAAACCAGGCTTAGTCACCAGCTGGTTGTGGACAAGCCCTGCCGCTAGTGCCCAGGACTTAGGCCCTCAGTCATATCCAATCCACCTTTCCTAAAGCCCACCTGCCCAGGTGCTGGTCCACGTACTCCTGTAGCTCAGAAAGTTGCTCCTCAGCCATTGTGGCCCGGACCAGCAGCTGTGCCCGCTCCCGTTCCAGTTCTGCCTGGCATGGGAAGGGGGTCATAAGCCATGAGCCTGGGCTCAGTGAGAAGAGAGGCCTCCAGCCAGGCCTTTCTCACTACCTGAGTGCCACGGGAGAAGTCCTGTAGCTTCTGGTTTATCTGGGCCCAGGATGCAGCTTCCAGGCCCCTGTGAGAGGAAGGGAATGGGTGGGTGTGAGAGCTGGTGTAGGCCAGGTGCTGACCAGTGACCCTGCTCAAGTCAAGGCACCTAGATTTTTGAGGTGCCTGTTGGGAACAAGGTGGGAACAGCATAGACCTGCCTTCCCACTCTGGGCCCTGCCCAAGCCTTGGAGCCATCTATGCATGGGGGTCCGCTGGCCACTCGGACAGCTAAGCCACAAGGCCAGCTTGGACATTGAGGATGTTTATGGGAGGGGTCTCCCCTTATGCTGGGGATTTGTTTCCCAAAACCCTGGGAGGTGGGCTTGTACCAGCTTCTGCCCATCACACAATTGGGAACATGAAGGCCCAGAGGCAAAGGCTGTGGAGGTCACCAGGTAGCCTTGTCCTACGGCCAGGACCTCTGCCAGCCATCTCCCAACAGGTCTTCATCTTTGGGTCCTCTGAGTCTCAGCTGAAATTTCCTCATGGGCTCTCCCTGACCCTTCCATTCAAGGAGGACCCATCTTCACTGAGGCATTTTGGGTTTTCTGCGATTATTAGTGTCTCTTAAACAGACTGAGACCAGAGAGCACAGATGGGCCACATTGTTCACTGCTGCAATCAGAACCCACCCAGCAGTTAGAGCTGACAGAATAAATGAATGAGTTCCACCAGCACCCACACCAGGGTACTCACTGTGGCTCTAATGTGCCCCGCTGGGAGGTTTCACCTGGTACCTTCTGCGGAAACAAGAGCAGTGCTGTAAGTCTGCCGGGTTGTAAAGGCTGCTTGATAGGGTTTCTCAGTTGCTGAACAAGGCAGGCTGCTCAGAGGCCCTGGGGTTGGGGCTTTGCTGAGCCTGGAATGGGCCCTGGGATGAGTTGTGGGGCAATAGGGAGGGGTCACCTGGGCCTGGAGCTCCCGGAACTTTGTCTCCAGCCTAGCCTGGTCCTCCTGTGGGTGACCGAGCTTGGTGACCTCAGGCAGGGGCAGCGGCTCCAGGTCCAAGGTGGCTGCACCAAAGGTAGCCTTGGGGGCCCCATCGGGGTCTGCCAGTGCCTGCTGCACACTAAGCCATGCATCGGGTTATGTAGGGCCATCCTACCCCAGGTCCCTATATCAGGGAGGCACCCACCTGTGGGCGGCCAGCAGCTCCTCATGCCTACGGCTCAGATCTGCCAGGCGCTTGCGGTAGGCACGAGCAGCCTGGGCCAGCTGTTGCTCACGACTGTGGTATGCCGCCCGAATGTCTTCCAGAGTGGTCTCCAGGAATCTCCGAAGGACTGTGGCGGCAGGCGTCTGGCCTCCACCATCTGCATGCTCCTGGAGGGGAGAGGGTGGGGCTGGGGCGGGGCCACAGCTGGGGAGGGTGAGGCTTGGTTGGTCCCATGCCGCCCACCCCCCCAATTCCCTCCGAGGAGCTGGTCTGACAGTGTACTGGGCAGGCTTATAGTCTCCCACCAGGTCAGGTCTCCCAGAAGTGGTCTAGCACACCCAGGCCCAGAGGCTGCTCACCCACCCACCGTAGGGACACCCAGCCCAGGGCTCACAGTTACGACTTGGGCGCAGTGCTGCAGCCGAATGGTGTACTCCTCATTCAGCTTCTTGAGCTGAAGCTGTAGCCGGGCATTCTCCACCTCAGCCTGGCTGAGCTGGCCTTGGCAGGCTGACAACACCTGGGGGAGGAGGTGCCCCTGAACCCATGTCCCACAAGGTGGACCTTTGTTGAGCTTGTAGAACTCACACCCACCAGGTCTCAAACAAGCAGGCCTAGGCCTCACCATGGCTTGTGCAGCCAGTCGCTGCCCAGCTGTCCTGGCCTCCTCCCGGGCTCCCTGCAGCTGCTGGCCCAGGGCTGCCCTGCAGACATGGGTGAGGCTCAGCTGGGGAGGGCAGGGGACTCCCTCTGCTCCTTTGCTCACTGTGTCCTGCTGGGCACTCCCCATCCCAGGTGAGGCAGCCACTCACACATGCATCTCCAGTGCCTGCTGCTGAGCCCTTTGCTGCTCCAGCACCTGCTTTACTTCTCCCTGCAGCTGTGGCGTACACAAAGGCTGGCTGGATGAGACTCCAAGCTTTAGGTCCCCTGCACTCCCCCACCTCCACCCTGGGCTGGGAGAAACTTTGGCAGACTCCTGGGCTAGGTGGCTGTATACTCACGCTGTTCCCCAGCTTCTGCTGCTGCTTCTTAGGGGTCGGGATGTCCTTGGGCTGTGCCTGTACAAAAGAGCGAGTCTCAGCCTCACTGTGCTCCTGCTGGACCCCTGTTTGGCTTGCATGCAGCCAGGCCCTATGGTACTCATGGTGACCTGGTGTCTGTGGTGATCAGACTGTCCCTGCACCCAGGCCTTGCACCCGAGCTCCTGTGTCAGTGCCTGGCAGTGCCCTGCATTAGCCTCTGCTGGGGCTGCCTGCTCTCCGTGCAGCTCCAGCTCCAGTACCCGGCTCTCCAGCCACAGGACCTGCAGGGTAACCAAGTGCCAGGTCACCTGGGGCCAGTCATCATCTATCTGAGCATCCTCAGAAATACACAGTACATGCAGCACAGGTGGGGACTCACAGACAGTGAGTGTGCACAGTCATATGGAGCACACCTGGACCCCTCCCAGTGCTGGACCCAGGTATGCACCCTCCCCCCAATGCCCTGAGGCTGGCACACATGGGCACACTTTAGTGCCCACCTCACTCTTCAGCTCAAAAATTTCAGCCTCGTGCTGCTCCTGTAGGCGATGGGTTCTGATCTGCAGGTCGACCATCTCCTTGCAGACCTGTGGGTGGCCGGGATGAGAGGTGGAGCCTGTGGGACCCTGTTGGTTCCCTTTCTCCTGCCAGCACCCCAGGACCCCATACCCACCTGCAGTCGCTGTTCCTCACTCAGCTCTAAATCTGAGGGAAGCTCTGTCTCAAGGCTGGTGGCCCAGGCTGGGGCACCCCCAGGGACTCCTGGCAGCCAGTCCTTGGCCCGTGGCAGAACCTGGGGAGGCACCACCACCCATCCCCCAGGTGCGTTTCAGGCCTGGGCTGTGGCCTCCACTCCCATGGAACCACCAGCCATCCACCCACACACTCAGCCTGGCTGAGCTGAATCAGTCTCTCCCACAGCCAGAATCAGGCCCAGGTCACGGGTACCTACACCCTTCCTGACTTCTGAGGGGACAGGGAGAACCCCGGACCCCAGAAGCAGCAGTGTCCTGGGAGGACTCACATTTTCAATGGCCCGAGACGGGGCCCCTGGCCTGGGAATTGAGGCTGAGGCTGCTGCATGCTCCATAGGCAAAAGGGACAACCACCAGCCCCAAGCCTACTGCCACTTCGCCTACTGGTGTGTTGCTGCAACACGGTGGCTTGTGTTGCCAAGGCTTTTGTTGTTCCCAGGAGACTACCGGGGCCCCGCCCGCCAGGGCAGGCAGGACAATTCAGTGGTTGAAGAGGTGGGTGCAAACTGTCAGCTTTTTCCATATTTGGCCACCCTTTCTTTCTTGCTTCCTTTTCCTCAACGAGGAAACGCAGACCAGCACCCGTCTTCATCCGGGGAGCACACAGAGCCAAGAGCGCAGAGCGCATAGCAGCGCTCAGCATGGGGAGTTGTGGAACAGCGCACATTGGAATGGAGCTGTCGCTGCTGTTTATGTTCTCAAGCAGGGCGCCTTGCCCTACGATGTACGTTCATACACTAACTAGGCCCCTTCCGGTGCTGGCTGAGCGCTGGGACAGGCAGGCGAGCAAAGTGGACATATCCCTGCACCCCTAGCCTGACGGAAATAGGCGCAGACGTCCCAACGTGGGGCCCGGTGATTCGATAGAACGGGTTCAGTCGGTTGCCAGAAGGGCTTCGCGGAGGAGGCGCCGTAGCGCCGGACGTGCGCGCAGTCCCTTTGAGCACGCGTGCACTCCCTCTCGCGCACGCGCATTCCCTGAACCGCGCTCGGGTTCCGACGCGCGCGGGCTCAGGCCGGCCCCGCAGGAGGGCGCCTCGGGGGCGCAGGCCGTTGGGGGCGGCCGCGCAGAGCGGCTCACTCCGTCCAGGTCCCGTGACCGGCGTCCAAGGCCCGCCTATGTCAGGCTGTCCTTCAGACAGTCCGCGCGACAGGCTGGCGTAGCCGGTGGGGGTGAGTGGGCGGCCAGGGAAGGACGCGGGCAGGGACCGGGGTCGCACTGCCTCGGGAGGGGCCCTGGGAGAGATGGGGCCTGAAGGGATCGGGGTATTGGGGGCGGAGCGAGAGAGGAGCTGGTCCAGGGTCGCGCTGCGGCGGGAGGACGCCTTGGGAGGGGGCGGGTCCTGGGAAGCAGGCGGGTCCTACTGGGGCAGCGGCCTGGCTGGGGACAAGCGCGGGGAGAGGGCGTGGCTCGGCGGGGGGCGGGCCCTGATGTGGGCGGGACCTTGAGGAGGGATTGGGAGCGGCAGGTCAATTTAAGGCTGGAGCATGGAATTCCACACCACTCCTCCCGGAAGTCCGAGAGTAGGGAACAGGGCTATTTTTTTTTTAGCCCCCAGCGTGTATGTGGAGCTGACTCTTCCCGGGCACAGCCCTCCCTAGGGTCTGGAGAGCGTAGCCCCATTCTGAGGAAGAGGCTCAGGAGGCGCGAGGTGGCTGAGCTCTGCGACCATGAAGGTCAAAGTCATCCCTGTGCTTGAGGACAACTACATGTATCTGGTCATCGAGGAGCACACGCGGGAGGCTGTGGCCGTGGACGTGTCCGTGCCCAAAAGGGTGAGGGCAGGCTTTGGGCGGCAGTAGCACCACTCTGAGCCTAGGAATCGTAGGTCGTAACCGCCAGTCTGTGCTTGAAGAGGCTCCCCCGACCACACTGCTGGGAGCAGACTCTTCCCCTATTCTTTGATCTCAGGTTATTTGGTGTTTAGGACTTTTCTGATTATCCTGGGTCTCCTGTGAGGTTAGAGCCTTCTCTGGCCTCCTCTTTTCCCTTCGTTTGGTGCCTGTGCCATATACACCGGGTGCTCAGTAATTAACTGCTGAATCGCCCCTACCCACAACCCCATCCTGGCCTGCTTGGGGCACTGTGCAGCCAATCCTGGCTCCCAAACACAGGCAGCCACCTGGACCATCCGATCTCCTTAACTCCTGTCCCTTTCAGCTGCTGGAGATCGTAGGCCGGGAGGGGGTATCACTGACCACCGTGCTGACCACCCACCACCACTGGTGAGCACCGTCTGGGCGGGCTGAGGCACGAGGGTGTCACCCCAATCCTACCCCAACCACACGTGATTATACTTCTACGCATCTGCAGGGACCACGCTCGTGGCAACGCGGAGCTGGTGAGACTGCAGCCTGGGCTGGTGGTGCTGGGCGCGGACGAGCGCATCTGTGCACTGACCCGCAGGCTGGTGCATGGCGAGGAGCTGCAGGTAAGTGGGCACCTGGGAGGCGCGGGGAGAACACCCTGGGCTCAACTGCCTCACAGGCCTGCCTGCCTCTCTGCTGTAGTTTGGAGCCATCCATGTGCGCTGCCTCCTAACCCCAGGCCACACCTCCGGCCACATGAGCTACTTCCTTTGGGAAGACGAGTGTCTGGACCCACCTGCTGTTTTCTCAGGTTCGCACTGCCCTGCGCCCACCTGCCCCACCTCCCCTTGTCCCCTTCCACCTTCTCTGACCTGGCCAACTCTCCAGGGGATGCACTGTCCGTGGCCGGCTGTGGCTCACGCCTGGAAAGCACAGCTCAGCAGATGTACCAGAGCTTGGTGGAGACCCTGGGCACCCTGCCCCCTGAGACAGTGAGCAGCCTGTCCCTTACCCTCACGGGGCCCAGCCTCTCACATAACCCGCGTACTCTGCACCTGCCTTGTGCTGGGGTTCGGAATGAGTGCTGGCCAGTTGAAGGAGTGGGCGGGCCAGGTGTGGGGGGAGGGGTACAGGGGTGTGTGGAGGGGCCAGAGGGGTGAGTGCCTCTGCTCACCTCTGCCTGCGGTGGTGCTGTGCACCTCAAGTGCCTCCTTTCTCCAGAAGGTGTTCTGTGGTCATGAGCACACGCTGGGCAATCTCGAGTTTGCACAAAAAGTGGAGCCCTGCAACGATCACGTGAGGGCCAAGCTGTCCTGGGCCAAGGTGTGGGGACTCCTCCCCTCTTGATTGCAAGGCTGGAGGGTGGGGCAGGAGTGGGTCCAGGAAGGGCATTGCTGGGGGAGTCAGCCATGGGCATGCTGCCAGCCAAAGCTCCCACTGGTGAAGGGAGGGGTTGGTGGCCTTGGGTAGGGAACTGGGCAGCCTCTAGGATTGGCCCACGAGTGCCTGCCCTCAGGGTCTAGCCTCCAGCCCCGAGGCTGGGGGTGAGCTGGGTCAAGCTGCCTGGAACTGCCAGATAAGGCTGTGACAAGGGCCTGTGGTCATTCCAGAAGAGGGATGAGGATGACGTGCCCACGGTGCCGTCGACCCTGGGCGAGGAACTTCTATATAACCCCTTCCTGAGGGTGGCGTGAGTACTGGCCAGCATCCCGGGCCTTCCTGTGGGGCAAGCTGGGGAGCACGTGGCAAGGCCTATGCCTGTGTGTCTCGGGAGGACCTCTGCCCTCTCCAGGGGCCGTGCTGCAGGACAGGCTGGCACAGGGCCGGACTGTTATCCTCTGGGCCTCCCTGGCAGTCTGGGACACTGAGGGAGGTGCTGGGGGATCGGTTATTTGGCTGTCTGGCACCAGGGAGAGGCTGCTCTTTAAGTGCCCTCTGCCTAGCAGTTCTCTGGAAACCCCCATGGTGCCCCTCTCCCTGCAGAGAGGAGCCTGTGCGCAAGTTCACAGGGAAGGTGGCCCCAGCCGAGGTCCTGGAAGTGCTCTGCAGGGAGCGCGCGAGCTTTGAGAGGGCAGCTGAGCCGCTGCAGCCACAGGCCCGGGCACTCCTCGCACTGCAGTGGGGGCTTCTGAGCACGCCCCAACAGAAGTGAGCCCTGCACGGGCCAGGCCACACGTCCCTCCTCTCTCAACCTGTCTCAACCCTGCCCAGCCTCAGAGGGTGGGCATTCTGGCACTTCCTGGCGGTGGACACCCAGACCCCTCTCTGGGCTACAGTGAGTTCCAAGACCTGGATGTTTGGGAGGCAGCCTACTGGGGTGCACTGGGCTCCTGAACTTATGAATAAAGCTGTGAAAGGCCTTTCTTGATGGTGGCAGACACTCTTGGAGAGAAGCAGTTTTCAGATAGAGTTCCCTTTACTAGAGATGAGCTCCTTGGGGGCAAGCTTGGCTGGCTGAACCCAATTGGCCCACCCCCTGCCCTATACGTGGGGATCCAGCTGTGGACATAGGACTCAGCCTGAAAGACCACTAAGGCCTGACACTAACAGAGCCTGCCTCCCACAAGGACTCAGCCCCCAAAATGCAGGTTCTCAGGCCCCAGAGGCCACAGCTTTGTAGAACACCTGGTTCTAGATGGGGGTCAGGGGGACCCACGCCCAGGTAGGGTGTCATGGACCAGGTGCCTGTCTCCAGCCAGTGTTCTCTGCTGCCCAGTGTGGCAGAGTTCCCCCGCTCTGCTGTGAGCTCAACCAACTGGGCAGGTTCAGCTTGTTACCACCCTCCATATCCCAACTTGGACTGACTCTGGAAGTGAGGGATGAGGAACCCCCTCTTGCTCTGCCTTAAGCTCCCCATGGGACTAGCTGAAACCCTCACAGCTCAGGCCACCACAGCCAGGAGCCAGAGCACTGATCTGGGCTCCAGGCCCATAGAGAGGTTCAGAAGTTGGTGAAACCTCCAGGCCCCTGCAGTGCAGAGTCCAGGTGAGTGCAGGCTGGAGGTCACCTTTACTGACTGTGGGTCCTGAATCCCATTTCTATGTGGGTTCCAATGTCCCTGTAGCTCACCCAGCATTTTCAGGGCAAGCCCTGGGGTCTTGGAGTGACTTCCCTGCTGGAGACTCCACATGTCTTGCTGGGAATCCTGGTACTGGCTGCGGTGGGCCCGGCAGACACTGGAGGCCTCCTACCACCTGATGCTAAGGCCAGAGCCAGCCTTCTCCACTGCGTGGTAGCTTGTGTGCAGCAGGCGGCTGGCCCTCTCTGAGCCCTCACCCTGCAGCCAGTGCCCATACAGCTCCTGGATCCCGGGCGCTTCCTCTGGCACCTCTGTCCTGACCATGCTGTACAGCCTCTCAACCTGCTGCAGAAGCTCCTTGCCAGGCCTGTCGGGAGCCTTGAGCTGGCCTCCGCCATTCAAGCAGCCTGTGGCAGGGAAGGACAGGCAAGAGTATGGTCATGGGAAGGGCATCGTCACCTGGGGGTCCCAGAGGGCCCCACCCTGTCTGCGCACCTGCGGGGCAGGCCATGACCTCCACGTAGTGGTATGGGCAGCGCCCCCTCTTGAGTTTCTGCACCAGGTTCTGGATGTTGCGGAAGCCATAGGCCACAGCAAAGTGCAGCAGGACCTGACCCTCCCTCTCCAGAGTCACTTCCTGCAGGTCCTTGTTCCTGGGGGAGCACAGACCCGGTTGTCCACACAGTGTGCCCAGTCCCTCCTGGGTGGGGACAGTGACAGAGGAGGGTAGAAAACTCACTTCCACGAGCTGGGCAGGTGACCTTACACCCAGCCTTGGTTTCCTGGTCTCACATGGAGGCCCCAGCCCTCCCACCGAGGACATGGGGACACACCCTGTGCCAGGAACACTGTCCTGCCACCACGGGCTACTCAGGGCCCTGGACCACCATGCTGTGGGTAAGGACATCGACTCCTACGATGAGGAGACTGAGGACTAGAGACTTTGGCCCTTTCATGTGAGCTTCCTGGTGCCCCAAGGTCCATGCCAAGCCCACCCTGATATCCTCCTCCATGCCTACTGCAGTGAGGGGACCTGGAGCTCCAGCTGCCCCGTTCCCCAAGCTCCAGCTTTTGCCACTGACCTCAGGGGTCTGTAGGTGACCTCAGTCACGTGGATTCCAAAGAGCTCCTGGGCTGCATGCCGGAACACGTGCTCCAGGTAGCCCCCCGAGCCCCCACCCCGATGGCTGGTGGGCTCCTGGGGGGACACGCTGCTGTACCTGGGGAGGAGGGCATGGCCTCAGGTGGTACTGGGGCTGCTGTCTGCTGAGGCTTCTGGGTAACCTCTGTCTCTCAGGTTTGAGAGCATTTGCTAAGTGGAAAATGAGTCATGGACCACAGGGGCTTTGTGGCCCTGTCAGGAGGCAGCTCATGGGGAAAGGCCTGTCCCCTCCATCATGTCACCTGTTCTGGGGAGCTGAGACCTGTATGAAGTTGGGGTCAGCTCTGATGACTATCAGCCAATTGTCCACAGGCCTGTCTCATGAACTCAACTGTCTCTGTGGACACCAAGACATACCACGGGGCAGAAGCAAAACCAATCAGAAAGGAGCCATGGCAGAGAAGGCAGGAAGGGACAGTGCCTAGCCCCACATTGTCACATCTCCTGCCCACCAGGACACCCATGACCCTAACATCTTGAGCACCCTGATGCTGGAAATACTTCCTGCCCCTCCACCGTGACAGGTGGTAACTTACAGACTGTCCAGGGGAGCTGGCTCCAGGTCTGACAGTGAGACTCCTTCCTCTTCCAGCAGCTTCAAAACTTCTCCTGTGATGAAACCACAGAACACGCTCTTCAGCTGAATCTCAAGGAAAACAAGAGTCAGTTCAAGAACACCCACATCACCTGCATCCACAGCAATCTGTGACCTGGACACAGAGGCCACGTGTCCACCCCTGGCTCGTGGGTAGAGGCTGAACTCAGCCACAGAGGTGGATGCACCGTCCCCAGGGCGCCTCACAGTGCACCTGGAGGTGGGCAGGGCACTGTGTCCCTGGAGGGCAACCATCCCTCAAGCTATCTGGCTGCCGGAAGGGTGTTCATTTCTCTGCCTTTTAAGCACTTGAGAGCCTGTGAGGCTGCTCAACTCAGAGATGGGGTGACCGACGTGAGCCAGAGGAGCTGTGCCAGGGCCTGCGCTGGGGACACAGCACCAGCTGGGCTCAGGGATCTGCACCTGTTGTGATGACACAATCCACATCGCGCGACTGGTGTTCCTGGCTGAAAAAGTCGGGTCTGGAAGCTTCCAGCTTTTTGTCGTAGCAGGGCATCACCGTCACGTGGTAGATCTTGTCGGGGGTCAAACGCTGCATGGAGAAACGTTGACTGTGGAGCAGCTGCCCAACCCAGGCAGCAAAGAGGCCAGGCTGAGGCAGGGGTGACGGCACAGGCACAGCAGGGAACACAGTTTGGCGTGTGGGTCCATGAACTCACTTTTAAGGAAACAACACAGACTCTCAACAGCAGCAGGGTTCCCGTTACCTGTTGCTGGGCGAAGAAGTCCTTGACCAGGGAGCCCATGACCTGCTGCGGGGACCGGGCAGTGCTAATGTAAGGGAGGAGGAAGCTCCCATGGGTCTTCTCGGCGTAGCAGATCCAGCCTGAGGCCGACATGGGGAGCACATGGGGCTGTGACGTGAAGGTTCTGGGGGTAGACACACTTGCACAAGGAGTCAGGGTCCCCGAGGAATGGCCCCACTCTGCTGTCCCTGTCACGTCTCTAGCATCCCTGCAATCACCCCTCAGGGAACTGAAGTGACTACAGGTGACTCTCGGGCTCCTCCCACCCCCCCAGCACTCCCGTCGCCCACATCCAGGTGTCAACATCCTGTCCCCAGTGCGCACACACCTGGGCAGGCGGAAGTCAGCACAGGCAAGGCCTGCTTGGAGTCCGCCTGTTCTCGGAATCGCTGCACAAACTCTCGCTGGCTCTCAAGGAGACTGAAGTTCCGTGAGAAGGCGGTATCAAACACGTAGTGTGCCCCTGGAAGGAGAGCACCACTTCACCTCTAAGAAGGACACCCGGAGTGTGAGGTGCTGCCAACCATGCCCCCCAGGAGTGTCACAGGACCCGCTGGCATTGTGGCCAGCCTGGATTCCTTGGGGCTCACCTCCTCTGAGCTCAGTGGCCACCAGGACCAGGCCATACCCTACACGGTGTCCAGGACAGCAGCCTATGCCACAGCCTCCCCACACTCTCCCAGCCAGCTCCCGGCATAAAGAGGTCAACCAACCTTTATTTTTTTCTGAGCCAGAACCCAGCTCAGACCTGGGAAATGCTCCTTGATGGTGATAATTTTTAAAAAACACAAGGAGGGAGTGAATTCCAGACTCGCAAAAGTGCAACATCAGAATTCAGACGGTTTTCTCTTAAAAGGCACTGCTCTCAATCATCAAAACTTTAAGCTAAAGTCAACTTTAAATAGGGTTTCTGATACGTTTAGGTCCAAAGACCAGAGGTGTGAAGACCGCCCCCTGAGCCTTGTGTCCAAGCTGGAGTGCTCCCCAAGGTTCAGCACCCACCTATTTTTTTAAAGAATGCAGTTAATTTCCTGGCAGTGTCTGTAGGATTTAGCTGGAATCTCGCAGCCAATGATGCTCTGGACTGGGGTGAGACCGAGATGACAACCAGCCTCTGGTGACCAGGTGCCGCTATCTGCAAAGCAAGGGACATGCCACTCACTCTGTGTGTTTTACAGACTCCCAGTGGGCCAGGGCTAGCAAGACCAGACCCTAACTCAATCAAGGCATGTCATTTTTGTGTACACAGAGAACCTAACATTTAGGGCTAGCACCTCAACAATGGAATACTGACCAGTAATTCACTGAGATCCCACTGATGAGACTTAAAGATGCCAAGAGTCACCAGGAGATGAGCTGCTCAGACAACACGAGCAAGCGAGGCTGGGGCTGATGTCGGGTTATAGTAGAGTCCTGAGGACCACCTACCGCTTACCTCATTAGCACCTAGAACCTTCCGCAGCTCCTCGTGGCTCTGCTGAGTGATGAGCACGGTCTCTGCCGAGGTGACACAGCCACTACATGCCAGGCAGTCATCCAACGAGATCTTGGCCTTCTCCAGCCTCCTAGTCCCTCCGTCCTGGAAGCAAGAGAACTCGGTATACCAAGGGCCCTGCTGCATGAAGACATGAAGCGGTGGAGCTCAGGGTAACGGAACCCACAGGAAACCTTCATTCTCTGGCTCACAACACAGCAGCTGAATGGCTTTATGTGCCCACTAAAATTTTAGAAATTAAATATTTATTACAGAAATATTTATATACATTCTAGATTTTCATAGTAGCACCAAATTCTAACTTTGGTACAAACTTGGCTGG